CTCCACTCTCTTGATAAACCCCCTTCCACGTCCATCTCGAAATAAGCATTGTCAATGCTAAAGTTTGATTTATAAAATTCTTTTTCTAGTTGAGATGTAAAAAGTCTGAAGACGCCCTTTTAGAAAGGTAAATAAAGTTTTTAACTACTGGACGATAAAATTCCGTGCCAAACAAAGTGTAATCATCTGGGCTTCTCTCTCCTTTCTTATCAGAGAAAAGACAATACTGCAGCTAAGAAACAAACTGAAGGACAAGGAAGATGTCATGAATCGTCTCTCTACAAGGGTAATTTCATTATTCCTCACACGTCCATAAATTAGCCTTCCCGAGAACTGGTTACGATAAAGGCGCGCGCTGGATCATGGGGATGGCTAAGGGGTCGCCATTTTTTTAACACGGGAAAAGCTTAGCACCCTCTTTTGAAAAACAGACCGAAAATCAATGTAAAGGTGACTCGATTCAAAAACTAAAATCTGTAAAACGAAAAAGTCAAATGGCGTCCCTCAAACAGTCCCACAATTCATTGCGCGTGCGTTGTATTCGTTACCAGTTTTCCGCGTAACTTCAGAAAGCCCAATAGAATTGGTCAATAAAAAATATTATTTACGTTTTATCGATATTGATGGTTTGCAATCATTCCCAAGAAAGTCAAGAGATAAAGACTTGGCGGCCATGTTGGTGGTATTAACAAAGGTAGCTGATGAGAAAACGTTTGTAACCCATCATCAATATGGCTACGATGACGTAACGTGCAAACGAAGATTAAGAGTAAATCAATATCATTATTTATGATAAATAATTAATTTAAAATTTATTAATGATTAGTAACTTTTTTCTGCAGCTCAAGCAGTACGAGGAGAATAACCGGTTTGTCAAGAATGACAGGATTTACGCCTCGGATGCACGAGGTCAGCACAAATACTTCAAGTCCAACCCCATTTCCCTTTTCTCTCTTTCTCTCATTTTTCCCTTTTATTTTCTTTAATGCTTTTACACGATCATTTCATTTTTCCCTTTTCTTTCTTCTCCTATTTTTTCTTTCTTAATTTTCTTTTTGTTTTTTGTTTTTTGGTTTTTTTTTTCATTTTTCTTTCGTTTCTTATTTTTTTAGTTCTTTCTCTCCACAGATAGTCATAAAGTTATCGCAGCTTTAAGACAGCAAATAAAAGAGATGCAACGACAGTCAACTGAACGAGAGGTAAACCAATAAATACTTGAGAACCACGCATCTAAACACAGATTACTGTATATATACAGAGGGTTTGCACCATCACGTGATGGCAGCCATGACAGGAGGCAGGAACAATCGAATCTGGTCTAATCTGATTTACATGAGAAAGAATTCAGTTTCCCAGTGGAGAAAGACTATTGTTGTGCCTCCTGTCGTAGCTGCCATCACGTGATGCTGCAAAGCCTCTATTGGGGATTTTCGGGAGCCACATTATAGTGCATGAGCAAGCGCAATATTTTTGAGTGACAAGAAATTTCTTTTTCCAAAGAAGAAAATTTATATCGTTTTGCCTTAGAATGCCTGCCTCGAAGCCTCTCTGTATTTCGTATCCACTTTGCGTCTTATTTATATCTAGTAATATATATGTCCGTCAATGGAATTATTACTGATACGCGTTAGTAATAATATTTTTTTCAACGGCAGATGCTGCAGCTAGACGAAAATGAAGTAAGTTTTAATTCCATTCATTACCTTTGAATTGATTTGATGAATGAATGGGTGAATGAATGAATAAGTGAGTAAATGATTGAATGAATGAATGAATAAATGAACGAACGAATGAGTGAATGAATGAATGATTGAGAGAGTAAGTAAGATATACAAGACTGCCATACTGCCAATACTGACCTACTGTCACACAGTATGGCATCATTGTCGTGCTTCGGATAGGAGAAAGTTGGAGCGTGTTCAGGAGCGAGCCCTAAGAGCTGTGTACCGTAATAGGACTAGTGATTATGCAACACTTTTGAAATGGGCTAACCTAAGTRCTCTGAACGATCGTAGATTACGAGATATAGCTATACTTATGTATAAAGTTAAAAATCGTTTAAGCCCTTCCTATGTTACTGACTTATTTAATCAGTCCAGTTGCAGATATAATCTTAGGAATTCTGACTTCATCATACCAAGATTTAATACAGTCAATTTCGGAAAACACAGCATAAGATATCTCGGACCAGTTTTATGGTCTAAGCTTAAGAGGAACGTTAAGTCATTAGATACCCTAAGTAAATTTAAAAGACACATAAGAACACTTAACTTAGGTGACCTCATGAGTAATAATTGCCAAAACTGCCTCTTATGCGCTACCTAGTAAGCGTATCGATCTGAGTATCGAACACATGTAAATTAGGATCAGTTGGGGGTGGGAATTATCTTACAGTTACTATGGGGTGGGGTAAGGATTTAGCTTGTAGTTTACACAAAAGTGTAGGAATAATGGGTATATTTAGTCGGAGGGGTGGGATATTACCGTAAATTAGATAATTGTAAATATCATATAGGGGTTGTTTTAAGGCTTGGAAACATGGGATAAGATTTTTATTGGTTTTATAGGGTTCTAGATAGGTGTCCCCAATTAGTTTATTTAAATAAGCTAGAACGACATGACACAGTAATAAAGTTTATTATTATTATTATTATTATTATTAAGTGAATGAATGAATGAATGAATAAATGGGTGACTTTCTGAATGAATAGATAAATAAAAAAATGAATGCCTTGGAGCATAAGGGTGGGATGAAAGGATGAATGAATGAATGAATGAGAAATTTACAGTGTAGCTTATCCAATCCACGTACAAGACGAATTAACCATGAGAAACACTTATTTACAGCTCAAAGAATTAAGGCAAGACAGTTTACGACAAGAAAAAGAACTACAAGAAAAAGAGAAAGTAAGTTGCAATTAGCTGCTAGTTAAACACAGAAACCACAGGGAACCCATTCTTATATCTGACTGATGTAGAACTTTTAGGGACAAAGGAATCTACCTCAAATGCAAACAAATACTGAGATGTTTATGATAACTTTTGGTTCCTTTTTGTTTAGAAAATAAAACTATTGCAGTCGAAACTTGCCGAACTAAAGAAAGCTTTTCAAAGAGAATTGGTGAGTAGTCGTTGTACTCGATTGGGTGATATGATAATGTATAATGATAATGGTAATGCATGATGGTGATGATGATGATGATGAAGATGATGGTGGTGATGGTGACGATGATAATAAACTTAAACTTAAACTTATATGTAAACATATATATTTTACAACCACCACTCCCCATACAGGGCTCTTCCGTGAGGTTCCCTCCACACGCACTTACACTACATTCTGTATTTACAACATACAACACTCAACCCACATGTTGCTTTTTACGGAGGGAGGAATACCAGAGAACCCGGAGAAAACCCTCGTGGCAAGGGAGAGAACAACACATCAAACAAACTTAACTCACATATGATCCAGTCTGAGCCAGGACTCGAACACGGACCACAGTGGTGAAAGGCGAGCGGTAAACCACTACGGCACTTATGCCACCCATAAATACAGTGATGTTGATGATAATCGTTATGCCTATTCTTGTAGAAGCTACCTCTGCCAGAAGAAGAGAGTGGGATTTCCGTCACTCCAGAAACACCGCCTTCAGAGTCAACAAGTCGGTCAGAGAAGGAACGAATGGAATATCTCGATATGAATTTCAAGTATCCTTTACTTTACCTGCCAATCAAACAACACCACATTTTTTATCTAAATGATTCACTGATTTCAGCAAACAACGTGCATTGTGTTTCAAACAACATCATTTGAGGGTCGTTGGTAACACTTCCGAGCGATCCGATTGGTTCAGCATTTATTTTGTACATTATGATTGGTTGAGCTAATCAAGATCGTAACGTAACCGTAATCTTGCGTGTTGGTTTTGTTGAGGGAGGAAAACCGGAAAACCCGGGGAAAAAACCCTCGAATTAAGGTAGAGACCTAACGATTTCTACTCTAGCCCAGACTTGAGAGGCGAGTCTACTACCGCTGTCACCACAGGGAGCCCTGAGGGATAATTGTTTCCTTAACCAAGTTTTACAGATACTTAAAACACGTGATATTCAAGTTCATGTGCAGCGATAACAAACAGGTAGATATATAAAGAAGGAAAAATAAATAATGAAATAATAATAAATAAATAAATAGATAAATAATAGAACCTTGTGCATGATGTTTGACCACGTGTCATTCCCTTGAGTATCATTCTTTGTTTAACGGTTGTGCATGAGAAGACACGTGAATATGGATAAAACTCAAAAATGGAATCTTATTCTCAAGACCACGTCATTCCCTTGAGTATCATTCTTTGTTTTACCTTTGTGCATGAGAAGACACATGAATATGGATACAACTCAAACAAAGAATCTTATTCTCAAGATCATGTGTCATTCCCTTGAGTATCATTCTTTGTTTAACGGTTGTGCATGAGAAGACACATGAATATGGATAAAAGTTAAACAAAGAATCTTATTCTGTAGAAAGTGGCACGCGGTCTGAAATGGTCATAACATTACGCCCAAGGTAATAAGATCTGTTATTCATTCTTCCTTTTTTCGTTCTCCCAATGATTGAGCGACGGAATGGATGAATGGATGAGCAAGATGATTAAACGAATGGTTGAACGAATGAATAAATGAAAGAAAGAAAGAAAAAATGAATGACAGAGAGTGAATAAATGGATAAGTAAAATAGTGATTAAATAAGGGATGAATGAATGAATGATAAGTAGTGCAAGGCAGTTTTATCCTTGCCATAATATTAAATATCTTCATGTCTGCAGTCTCGACAGCTCCTCAATGTCATAGCACACATGCTGAACTTCACTTCCAAAGAACAAAAATGTGTGCAAGATGCGTTTGAATGGAAGGTACGTGATATTTAGTTAAACACTTAGTCTAAGGATCGTTTATCTCCATCGGGTGTGCATTGGTTATCAAAAAGGGTGCGCTTCGGTTATCTGTCGGCTGTACATCCGTCATCCATCGATTGCGCATCGTTCTTCCATCGGGTGTAGATCGGTTATCTCTCAGTTGTTTATTATTAATCTATAGGAAGTGTATCGGTCACCTATCGGAAGTGTATCGGTCATCTATCGGAAGTGCATCGGTCATCTATCGGAAGTGCATCGGTCATCTATCGGAAGTG